GGCCGATAGACATCTATATCTATCCTCTATTACAAATCAAAATGTAGATGCGTTGTCAGCCGTGAGGACTAAGATGGAATGCCTCCTTTCCAGTAAAAAGGGCCTCCGGCCACCTGCACTCACCATACGAAACACAGCAGTGTTAAGCTGCTATTTTACGCTGGTATTCTGTGAGAGCGTGGTCCTTCCCCGGTCGAGCCGACCCATTCGTGCTACAACTACACTACTAATATAGCTGAAGCATGGCTCTACCACGTAAGATAGGGATCGGTTATCATGCACAGTGGATTTAAAACTTGCATAAAATAATGACCATGGGCGGATATCAAAATCAAACGACGCTAGCTCTATAGGCGGTAAAGATTGTCGCGATGTTGTGGCCGATTTCGGACATTCATTTATTATTCGACTTGTAAGACGAGACATTACACGTTTTATATGACAGTATAGTTCCTCGAACGCGACCCATGGCTGATATTCCACCTTTGCTCCTGGGTAGACTTGCTTATTATATAAATTGTACTCGGTTAATAATACCCTTTCGAAATCACTTCGTAATGCATCAATCGAAATCGCGCCAGAAAGGAACTATTCCCTGTCCACCTCACTATCTACTTATTGGGAGTGATCATAAATTGTTTGTGAGCGGTTAAATAAAGAATCGCGCTTAGCTATAGCTATATTCAATAACATCATTAATTTGGGGTCTGGCGTTTCGGTCCGAGGTTCATTCGTTTTTGACGTGCTAGTTTTTGATTTTTTTATAATATATATATACAGGGAATATTAAGGTTATAAGTAAAGTTTTAAATTAAACTGGCGAGCGATGAACAAATACTCGTACACAATTTATTAAAGCGTCGTGAACACTACTCTATCGCGGTAATATTATCAGGTAGATTTATTAAACTGATCTAAATTTCTTTGTGTGCGTGCGGATATGTAGACATTGTATTATGTATTGCGGTTAGTATATGGTAAATTATATAATAGCGATGAATATATATGCGAGAAATTAAGTAAAATATTATATTTAAATGTTTCTATATATATATAGAAATATTGTACTTTGGATGGTGAATTTAGCAGAAATAGAAGATATGATAATAAGTATATAGAACGGCGAGTGAACGCAGGATATAGGTAAATCGGGCTCTTAACTCTATTGTGGGAAGTCAGAATGTGTTAAAAAAGGCACGTATGGCAATTCACAATGCTGTATTAGTACCTTAATGTATTGTAATCAAAGTTGGGTGTGGCAGAAGATGATGAAATGATGGTAAATTATACCTAATTGTATGGATTAATTAAATTCATATGCCTATTCTGGATAGAAATATTCGAACAAAGTGGCAAAAAGATGGTTATCGGATTGAAAAGGTTTTAATACGGTCGAATGGACCGACGAATATAGTTCTAATAGTTTTCTAATAGTTTCTGTGAGATAGGAATTTCGAAATTGGAAGTTATTTTATTACTATAGGTGGTAGCGCGTGTTTTAAAATTAGTATAAAGTGGACTGTAATAGGTAGTTGGAATTAGATTTTGTTGAAATTTGCAACCGACACATAAAACTGAAGGCGCACCTGGAGAACGCCGTCAGCTTCTCTTCGTACTTGAGGTTGACACTCGCGTGGTACACTCCTAGTTTTCTTGCGCGATTTACACTTATTTGATACAATTCACGGCCGTGACTTTAAATGTATGCTAATTAAATAGATATAGCGAGCGTGACACAATATGCATCCGCGTGCGGGCGTGTTTTTACTTACACTTCTTCTTCTACCCGGTTGTCGGTCGCAAGAAGGAATAAATGGAATCAATGAAAGGTATTATAGAGGAATCTGATTCGTCAATAAGATTGACCAAAACGCGGAATATTTTAATTTAAGGAGTGTTGGTAACAATAATCACATATTATATTTTATTGCTTTTGAATTTTTTTGTTTAACTTGCTGCAACTGCTGTAGTATTCATTTTTTAATTTTTATTAGTTATACACTTTTCTACTAATAAACAAGACATTTCATTAATAGCCTAAAAATATTATTATTAACGTTAACATCACTAGCAAATAGTAATAAAGTACAAATCAGTCAAAACATGTCTTGTAAAATTATGGTTAATGACAAAGTCATTAGTTGTTGCACGCAGACGCGATCTTTATACTTATTATGCGGCAGCAACGGAAACAAAAATGTATCGTATGCGGAAGCGTTACATTCTGAATTGATGTACGTATAAACTACAACCGACTTCATTCCAATTCAGCGAGTGTACGATATTCTGAAGAGCTGCACTTGCGAGAAATTACGCCCATACCACTATTACGGGACTAGGAATGTTATAAACATAGAACCGACTACAACTGGTGACTTTGCAATTTGAAAGCTTTAAATGAAACTAATTTTACCGATTTTATCGCTTTTAATTTTATCTTTTTAATTTCCGTCGATTCAGGTGTTTACAACACCCATGATCACGGAGATTGGGGTGTTTGGCGTCCCAATGTCGTAGATAGCGCGGCGACCTTCTTGAAAATTATTAGTTGTGTCGATCTTCGCAGAACGAGCTTACCGTATCTTGGGTATGGATTAATTTGATTAATTATACGATCCCAAGCAGATGGCAGCACCCAAAAACATCCTAATGTCTATAGAGAAGATGGCTTCTCTATAGACATTAGGATGTTTATAAATTTCAATGGCCTCGCGAATCGTCCTTGGTAGGAATCGGTGTTCTTTTGCGAGGATTTGTGGTCTATCAAATCTGATGTAATGGCGGGGATGATCTTGAACAAGTTCACAGACTGCAGACTTCCCGGAGTTTCGATATCAGTTATATGTTCTTGGAATCTGCAAACCCTCGTAAAAGAACATATAGCTGAACCACTCCTTACACAAGCATTTTCAAGCTTACCAGGAAGCATCAGTACTAATACTTTTTATATTAAAAAAACTTAAACTTTTAAATATATATATGTGTACTATATATATATATATATATATATATACTAGCTGTTCCCCGCGACTTCGCCCGCGTGTAATTTAGGGTTTTAATTTTGTTGCGCAGAACCTTTTTTTTTCCTCAAAAATATAAGTAGCTAAGTTACTCCTTATAACATCAGCTATCTACCAGTGAAAGTCCCGTCATAATCGGTCCAGTCGTTTCGGAGATTAACCGAAACAAACAGACAGACAGACAGACAAAAATTTTAAAAATTGTTTTTCTGTTATAGGTACCGTATATACTCGTACTTTTATATGAAATTAATAAAAAGCTGTTATTTTGACATTACAAACAGATACTTCAATTTTATTTATTTGTATAGATATATACACATAAAAAAAATTGTGATCAATAGTAAAAGCTGATATATTTATTTTTAAAATTTAACTTCATCAAGAAAAAGTGCTTAAGTTATATCTTTTTTTTTAATAAAAATACACTGTTTTTAATTAAATAATTAATCTTTTTTATTTTTTAATAACGAAAATTGAGTAATTCAATGCTAATTTAAGTAACATAAATTTAACGGAAAGAAAAGATTATTTAACCAAACTTATTCAACAATTTATTCATAGAAGGTTTTTATTTAATACAGTATAACTCCTCCCTTAGCTCGAACACATGCGGAGATCCTCCTAGGTATGCTGAGGATCAAGTTATCCAGCATTTCTTGCGGTAAAATTTCCCATTCTTGAATAGCAACTTCCTTGATTACTGGCAGTGTCTGGTGAGGTGGCTGACGGTTCCAAACAGCTCGCTTAAGAGCATCCCAGGCGTGCTCTATTGGGTTTAGTTCAAGCGAACCCGCAGGCCAATCTAACCTTGTCGTATTCTCGGAGAGCAGCATTATTGACTTGTTGAGCTTGTTGAGTTGAGCTTGAGATTTGCGGGCGCATTATCATCGAAAAGTACACATTGGTGCCCATGGTTTACTCAGAATGGTCTGACAATTCTATCAATAGCGACTATTTTGTACCTATCTGTCATCATGAAGCCTCGATATGGGATCAAAGGTATTCTAGCTCCAATCATAATTCCACCCCAAAAGGATACTGATTTCCCGCCTTGCTGAACGGTTCCAGTGGCTTTGTCTTTTAGAGTTTCCAGACACAGACACGTCGGTTATCTGGATGAGTACTGATTCGAGATTCGTCAACAAGGAGACAGTTTTGCCATACGTTTTCCTCCTCATCTTTTTCATTTCGCCGGAGCCTAGCCCACTGCAATCTCCGTCGATGACGGTGAATTCAGAGGCGCTCTCCGTGCTCATAGTCCAGCCTGGTTAAGCAATTCCGAATGGTCTGTGTGTTAACTTCAAGTCCAGAGACGGCCCGCACGTCTGCTTTTATTGTAGTGCCGTTGATTGATGGGTCACGGGCTGCCAGCAATATAATATAGCGCTTCTGAGCAACAGTCAGATCAGCTGGGCGACCACTGCGGGGTCAGTCAGCTAAATTATCCATGCCGGGGTACCTCAGCAGTTACGTGGCCACGTCACAGGATTGGGACACTGCAACTCTGCGTGCATTTCTCTCGCGGAGTATCCTTCTTCCCTCAAAGTTACAATTCTTGCTCGTAAACCTTCAGATAATCCTCTTGGCATTATTTCAATCACATCTTTCATCGAAAAAATATTTTCAATCCGTTAAAATTGGCTAAGTCAGATTTCTGAATGAGCGTAAGCTTAAATTGAATTTCTTTTTATATGGAATAACAATTGAAATTGTTTTTTTATTTTTTATTTTAATTCTACATTTTTAAGAAAAGAATATAAAAAGAACAAGAAATTATAATATAGTCTACCGGAATAATAAGGATTTCGATTTTTCAAACAGATAGCAAATTTTTTTATGTGTGTATGTATCTGAGCGTGACCGTCACGCGAGTTCAATGCTTTTTTCCAATCCCAAAAGTGACAATAACAATAAAAACAGAGTCCATTGTAAGTTAGGCAGATCTATATAGAGTGCAATTAGTAATGTTTGTTGCAGCGTGGCAGAGCGCGGCTCCGATCGCGGGCCCGGCAAGAAGCCGCACCGGCCCGGCCCGCACGAGCCGCTGCTACTCGACGGAGACGCGCCGTGAGTCCGCCTCCATACTCATTTATACTACAAAAACAACCCTGTGCTTCCCCTTAAGTGCGTTATTAGAAGTGGTATTCAAACGTATAAAAATAACCTTATTTTAGAAAACTCGAAAAAAAATAATTTTAATAACATTTTCATTTGCAAATCGTACGTGGATTTATTACCTCTGTGTTGGCCGGTAGTAATTGTACCGATGCCCGAAGAAAAGTTATTTCGGTGCGTTAGAATACTGATTCTGCACAGGGTTTTTGTAACATGTACATACTACTACTTATTTATTTTGTGATACTACCAACACGGATACACCTTGTGTCTAACGAAACGTAATATATCAATCTTGCAGGATATACGATTTTTTTATAGAATAGGTAAGTTTTTTTTAAGAAATAATGTTGACAACCGAGCACACAGTTCACCTGATGATAAGTGGATGCTATGGCCCCCTCTACATTTATCCTCGATTAATAATCAAAATGCAAATGCGTTGTCACCCGTGAGGACTAAGATGGAATGTCTCTTACCAGTAAAAAGGGTCTACGTTTCTCTACACTCACCATACGAAACACAGCAGCTTTTACACTGGTAGGATTCTGTGAGAGCGTGGTCCTTCCCCGGTCGAGCCGACCCATTCGTGCTACAGCCGTAATATAGCTGTAGCGTCGCTCTATCACGTATTAGTATTAGTGTTCGCGATATTAAACTTTTGTTTCATATCGCGAACACTTTACGAACACAACAAAACTAAACACGCAATAAATCAATAATAGTGCTCCGGCAGACATAATAATAATATATAAGGTATACTTAAATATGAAATAAACACGTAAGTTGATGAGTTACCATCTTTAAAAACATCATTTCCACATCTGTAGCACTTGTAAAAATAAGTCAGTTTATAGATGTGGCGATTATTGCATACCTCTTATAAAAAATAGATTTGGGCTTTGGAAAGCATGCCACTGTCGTTAATTGTTATGGTAAAATGATTTGCAGTTTAGGTTTATTTGAGTCTAAATAGTGTTTTTTTCAGACCAACGTTGGAGGAAATTCAGAGTTGGGGCCAGTCTTTTGATCGTCTCATGCGCAGTGCAGGTGAGTCTTATTTGTCCAACAGTTTTATGTTTGCATTTAATACACCTCAAATAAAAGGTTCGGTGAGGCAAGCGGCGGAGTTGATCTCCAATGGTTTATATTAGCTTTAGTCAATTTCATTATTTTAAGTAGCCTGTATCCTCGAAATCTTCTAAGTTAACATGTAGAAAGTAGTTTCTTTCATTTTTACTTAGACAAAAACTTTTGAAAAATTGATTGAATTAATGAAAAATAATGTCAAAGTTCAAACAGCCGTCTGGTTAAGTAAGAAACCAGACAAAATTTATGTTTTGTCAATAACGTAAGCACAAAAAAAGTTTTATATCTAGTGTGGCCATCTTCTGCTAAAATCATTTTGACATGCATCTTGCATTCATTTTGATATGCTATTGAGAATTTTTTCTAATGTTTTTAATTGTAAATGCTACATACATGCAACGTGTATGTTACCTGAAAGTAGCCCACCGATCGAGGCGGCTGAAATAGGTAAAAGTGTGGTATCGGCTTAGACGCACTCCTGGTCACGAAGAAAGCCCAACTACCGAGTAAATAATCTCAGACACATACATACACTTCCGCCATTTGTAACAACTGGCATATCACACACAAATTAAACGTGTGTTTTGTAATAACCTAAAAATAACATGTCGTACAGAAGAACAGAAGTAAATTAATGCTTGCAGCCGGGCGCAAGGTGTTCCGTGAGTTCCTGCGCGTCGAGTACTCCGAGGAGAATATTATGTTCTGGCTGGCGTGCGAAGAGTTGAAGCGCGAGACCGACCCTGACGCGATTGAGGAGAAGGCGCGATTCATCTACGAGGATTATATCTCTATTTTATCTCCCAAGGAGGTGAGAAGCAATTATTTTTATGTATGTACCTCTACACCGGGATCCTTTCTGCAACATGGAGCCATTTTAAACAAATATTTAACAATGACTTCTTATAATTACGCGGAATATATGTACTACACATTTAAATAATACCAGTTTTTACGGATTTTATTGCGTATATTAATTTATTTTAATTCCCGACGTTTCGAGCACTTTACAGCACACCCATGGTCACGAGGGGGGGGGGGGGGGGGGGGAATAATCCAACAAAACACTCCGATCTACATGACGCAATTTACAAACAAATACGTAGACACATCATCCAGTGAATTAAAGGCAGTTTTAACGAAATTTAATTATAATGTTTGCATCAAAACGTTAAATAAAAGATAAATTAATAAATATATCGAATGCAGGACCAAACATATAGAAAAATAACAAAAATTAACGACCAAATTAAATGTCAAACATCTGTGTCAACGTCAGAACGAAACGCAACCGTTGAACACAAACGCGGATCATAGATTAAACGCGGGCTATGTAACGTCAAAAAACTTTTTTGCAACAATTTTAACAACAATTGGAGTATTATCGAAGGGAATGAATTTTGCAAAAACACCGCGAAGTTTACCGTACGAAGAAATTATCTGAAGTGTTGAGGACTGTTTATTTAAAAACAATATGAAGAAAGAAGATTTGGAGGCGATACGTTCAACATTTCACCTGTTACGTTGAAGTTCAATGCCGAAACCGAATCTACCCAAAGACGAATTTATAGCGTTGAATAACCCACGCAATAAACGAAAACTCACGATTCTCCGCACAGATAAGGAAAATGCCACTGTAGTCACGGATACGTCAAATTATAATTCTAAAATACAACCAACTTTTGTTGGGTGTAAGCACTTATAAAAAAGTTAAAAACGAGCCAACAAGTAACACACTTAAAACAACTAGTGATCTCATAAAGAAACATTGAAAAATTAAATCTGGACGTAAAATCGATAATATCTACGTCTTCCAAACCACCGAAAATGTATGGGTTACCAAAAATACACAAGCCCAATGCTCCACTACGTCCCATAGTGAGCCAAATCGATTCACCAACATACAGATTGGCTTAGCGAAAATACTCCCACCGCTCAGGGGACATACAAGAGCACTTACAAAGAATTTCTATCATTTTGTCAGCGAGATTAAAGAAGACCTATGTACATCTGGCAGACAATAAAACTATGGTCAGCTTTGATGTGCAGTCACTATTCACATGCTTACCTGTAGAAAACTGCATTTCAATTGTATATAGAAGGCTGGAAGAAAACAACATGCCCGTAGAATATGCAGTATTACTCAGACACTTGAGGCTATCTATTGTGGAAGGAAGAGTTCTACAAGCAAGTAAATGGTGTGGCGATAGGCTCACTTGTATTTCCTACTGTCGCTAATATATTCATGAAAGACTTTAAGAAGAAATCCCTGCTTTCTTCTCCCTTAAATCCAAGACTCTACAAGCGGTATGTAGACGACACTTTCACAATGCTACCTTTAGATAGTAACTGCATTTATAGACCATCTTAACTCCTTAAATTCTAAAATTCAGTTCACAATGGGGTTAGAAGCAAACAATTGTTTATCTTTTCTGATGATGTGTTAGTAATTCAGAATCCTGATAACACTTTGAGCCTGAGATATTTGTTTAAATATGTGACGATTATGTGATTCTCACCGACATTTTTCACAGTTAGCTTCCGTGGGTAAATCTTTGTTTCAAAGAGCACGAGGGATCTGTGACAGTAAGCACATGCCCATTGAGCTCCAGTACGTCAAACAAGTTTTGCATGATAACAAGCTTCGGGTCCCGCACTTATGTCAAAGTGAACGAGTGAAGCCGGCCTGAGTCGAGCGTTTGCCTGCTGTACTGCATGCAATACAGGTGGTTACAAGGTGTCACTTACAAGATTGGCTACATCTTGAAGCGTGCTTCCATTATAATATACTTCAAGCCGCTGAAGAAGATTTGTTAGTTTTTACCATCAGTTAAGTGCAATGTCCTTCTACAAGATGCAGGAGTGTACAAGCTTGATTGTGAGTGTGGTCTCTCTTACATAGGACAAACTGGAAGATCAATAAAAACCGCGTTACAGAACTCATAGCTGATGTAAAGAATCGACGATCCGGGAAGTCTGCAGTCTGTGAACACAAAGGATCGCCCCCGTCACTACATCAGATTTGATAGACCTCAAATACTCTCTAAAGAACACTGATTCCTTCCAAGAATGATTCGCAAGGCTATTGAAATCAAAAAACATCCTAATTTTTGATTTCAATAGCCTTGCGAATCATTGGCTGGGTGCTACCATCTGCTTGGGGTACTATAATTAATAAAATTAAATCCCAATCCAAGCATACAACTGCAAGAATTCAAGATATTATAAGTTCATACTGCGTAGATAAATGAGGAACAGAAATGAGTAAATTTTATCTGGAGCTAGCTGTGATTAACATCGGGATGTCAAATTTCTCCTCCCCCCCTCCCCCATGATCATAGTCGAAACGTCGGGAATATAAAAATAGTTACTTTATGTGTTAAAATTCCTAAAAATTATTTTTTTTTACAGGATAAGGGTGACAAACGAGCACACAGTTCACCTGATGGTAAGTGGTTGCTGCGGCCCATAGACATCTACATCTATCCTCTGTTACAAATCAAAATGTAGATGCGTTGGCACCCGTGAGGACTAAGATGGAATGCCTCATTTCCAGTAAAAAGGGCCTCCGGCCACCTGCACTCACCAAGCGAAACGCAGAGGTAAACCTCTACTTCACGCTGGTTTTCTGTGAGGTCGTGGTACTACCCCGGTTCAAGCCGGCCCATCCGTGCGACAGCAAAAGCTGCCGCTCTACCACTGTTACTACTAGTTTTATTAAACATTTAACAATATTTTTATGAATATTCTGAATTTAAAAATTATTGAGCAAGCCTTTACATTTTGTTTAAGGGATTATTCGCCAACAGTAGGAGAAAAATTAAAAGATTTTGTGGTCAAAAAAGAACATCAGTAAAATGTTTCTCAAATACCACAGCAGTAACGTCTTGATCAGATTGAGTCAAATTATTGTTCACATTCAATAGAAAATCCGAGTTGCGTTGTTTGACCTTGCCAGTTTATATATAATTATACGTTATTTTAATTTTATTGCTAATATGTAGTCTGTATATTACGTAAGTGTAGAGCACACTTTTTTGAATACTAATGAATTTTTTTACATATTTTCTAAACAGGAACGTCTTTCTCACTTTTCTGTTTTTTGTGCATGTAAGGTAATGAGACCAACTTAAGTTCTGATCACTGTGAACACAGTGATGAGAACTTAAATTTTTAATAATTAATATATGCTAGGGTTCATTATCTGAAAAAAATAAATAAATATCAAAACAAGTTACACTAGGCCCAGCGATGCGTGTTGTTAATTTTATTATTAGAAATAATAAAGTTATACAACCAAAAATACCACCTACATATAAGGTGAAAACTGAAACGGCTTTTTTTTCATTACCTTGCGTATAAAACTGTTTCAGTTACTACTTACCATCAGGTGGATTATGTACTCGCTTTAACTATAAAAAATAACCCTTATTCCGTGAAGTTATTTTTTAATAGTTAAACTAAAAATACCCTTATTCTATAAAAAAAAAACATCGCCTTCCTGTGAATGCCCCAGAGCGCGACGGCCGTCGGGGTGGTGTTTGGATAGCGTATATTTTATAGAATATGGGTGACAAATGAGTACACTGTCCTCCGGTAGTCATGGTAAGTGGATGCTGTCGCCCATTTTTTTATAGGATAAGGGTGACAAACGAGCACACAGTCCACCTGATGGTAAGTGGTAAAGTAAAGTTTAACAGTGGTAGAGCCACGTGGCGGCTTTTGCTGTCGCACGGATGGGCCGGCTCCAACCGGGATGGTACCACGACCTCACAGAATACCAGCGTGAAGTAGAGGTTTACCTCTGCGTTTCGCTAGGTGAGTGCAGATGGCCGGAGGCCCTTTTTACTGGAAATGAGCCATTTCATCTTAGTCCTCACGGGTGACAACGCATCTGCATTTTGATTTGTTAATAGAGGATAGATGTAGATGTCTATGGGCCGCAGCAACCACTTACCATCAGGTGGACTGTGTGCTCGTTTGTCACCCTTATCCTATAAAAAAAGTGGTTGCTGTGGCCCGTAGACATCTACATCTACCTTCGATTATGAATCAAAATGCAGATGCGTTGTCACCCGTGAGTACTAAGATGGAATGCCTCGTTTCCAATAAAAATGGTCTCCGGTTTTCTACACTTACCATACAAATCACAGCAGCGTCAAGCTGCTATTTTACGCTGGTATTCTGTGAGAGCGTGGTCCTTCCCCAGTCGAGCCGACCCATTCGTGCTACAACTATACCACTAATATTTTTTTTAAAGGAGAGGGGGCAAACGAGCATGCGGCTCACCTGATAGTAAGTGACTACCGCCGCCCACTAACAACTGCAACACCCGGGGAATTGCAGATGCGTTGCCGACTTTTTAAAAAGGAGTAGGTTCTTTCTTGAAGGTCCTTAAGTCGTATCGGTCCGGAAAAATCGCTGGTGGTAATCGATTCCACAAGGAAGTTGTGCGGGGAAGAAAACTTCTTCTAAATCACACAGTGGTGGACCGCTTATCATCCAGATGGTATGTATCATATCACGAATTTTGTCGCGATTTGCGAAATTGAGCGGCTGGAATTAGTCCGAACAATTCCTCAGAGCACTTCCCGTGGTAGATGCGATAAAATACGCAAAAAGATGTAACACCTCTTCGCAGTGCCAGTAAGTCAAGCCGATCGGAAAGAACTCGGTGGTCGACGATTCGAACCGCTCTGCGCAGGATGCGGTCAATTGGAAGGAGCTTGCACTGGGGATCCCCTGCCCATAGATGGGAAAAGTATTCCATGTGGGGTCCTGCGCCTTGTAAAATTGCAAGCGGTGTCCCGG